GTGAAAACATCGATAAACATATGTCCCCATCTGAAAAAAAAAATATATTTTCAAAAAAAAGAAAAAGAAATCATACTGTTATAAATGTTTCTTTTATTTACTGGAATCATAATACCCATTCCTAAAGGTATTAATATACTAATAAGACTTGTTTTATTGGATTGAACACCAAAAGCTATAATGAAAACTCCAAACATATGACATACAGATACAAAATGAATTGGTAATTCAGCCATTGCAATAAGTGTTACCCAAAATGCTAATATACTTGAAAAAAAATCACTGTATTGTAAAACCTGAAATAAATTTAATAAAAATCTTTTATATGTAATATAAATTTTCGAAAATATTATTTTATGAAAATATAATTTTATTTTATATAGTCGCAAAATAAATATATGAAACAATTTTAAAATAATTTACGTACTTCATACTTTGCAATGCAATAAGTCATAACATGTTGATCACAAGCATGATACATAGAGGAAAAAAGCATAGTTGCTAAATATACTAATCCTTCGGTATACAATCCACGTTTAACAGCTAAGTATATAGCAGGTATAAAAAAACCATTACTTAAAGTGAGCATCAATGTTGTTATGAGAAGAGAAGATTCAGAATTAGCACTAGTAGCATCAGTGCAACCCCATCCTTTATATCCTATGTAATACATAATATTATATATATTTAAGTAATAATTACATAATTATAACACTAAATATGTTAAATAATAATTAAACCTTCAAAGCATTTACACGTTGTATAATAAAGAATATCATGATGAATTTCTTGACAGGTTCCATGATGACCACATGGATAATTTCCAGGAAATACACATTGTCTAGTCCTTATATCTAATGATACTAAAATTTCTTCCATTTCACAATTTACTGGTCTTCTATTTAATTAACAATATATTATTTTGTTTTATTATTATAAATAAAAATAATTTGTATATTATAATAAATAAAAAATTTATTTTTATTAAATATATACATATCTAATATTTTTAACATTTAATAAATAATATAACAACATAATCTTACCCATTAAAATAGCATGTTGCATCTAAGGTAACATACCAAGTATCTGGTTGTGGATATGGAATCAATAAACTTCCATCATGTTTATCAAACGAAGATAAGATCATTGACATTCTTGAATTCTCACATATAATATTATTCTTAATTCTATTTGGAATCCGTCCACGTCGAATACAAAGTATAACTTTTACTAATTGCTTTGTTATTATCTGAAAAACATATAATAAATTAAATAAAAAATTATAGTGAAAAATTTTCATCATTAGCTTACTTTATCCATTTCCAAACGAGCACTTATATCAAGTGTACCACCAATATCAATTAATGGTAAAATATTAAATTGTGTAATTACTGGATGTATATCAGTTAACATTACCCATGAAGTTAACCATTCTCTACCCTGAAAATCATATTTTATATGCACATAATTAATATATTTCTTATATTTATTATTAATTATATTTTATTAATTTTTTAGTTATATTATTAATTATATTAATATTATTAATATTATTAGTTATATTTATTATAAATTTAATACCTGTAATAGATAGGCTCCTGAAAATGTTTGCGAATGTTTAATTCTAACAAGTTGATATCTTGGAACACATGAATCATCAAAATTTTCATCTAATACATGAAATTGATTTTTCATGAAGTTATTTCCATTATAAAATGATTCATTATTTTTATTTTCATTATAATGCAAATGATTTGTTAAATCTTTCATATGCAATTGAGCTAATGCTTTAGAAAATGAAGGTGCATCTAAATATTGTCTTATGAAAGATTTTTCTGTTATTCTGATTGGGCATTCTGTAAAATGAAATACAATGAAAAAGATACATAAATTTCATATAAATTATATAATTAAAAATAAATATAATTAAGGATAAAAATAATAAAGTTACCAAAAGTAACTACTTTAACATTTACTTCAATAATGCTATCTGAAACAATCATCAAATAATAATAACTATCTTCATAAGGAGAGGATTCTATAAAAGTATATGAATCTAATATAGTTAAACTTTTATTTTTAATTGGTTGAGAATGATTGAAAATAGGCAAAGAACGTCCTTGTAGAACCATATTTTTTATACAAGGTTCATCTATACTATGAAATTTAAGCACTGTAAAATTACAACCCCAAATATCTAAACGAAAATTCCAAGTTCCTGATGGGATATATATCCTAGATAAAAATCCAATATATTAATCATTTTCAAATTTTGTTATGAGAAATATAGAGAAATTATATTCTTTACTTGTAGTAAGAAGTAGTTTCTTTTGTTCTTAAAATTTGTTGATAACCAATAGGAATATTTTCAATACTATTAATTTGTGTCCATATAGCTACCGAACCTATACTATAATGACATTTATGACCAAGTCCCTAAAATATAAAAAATTACAGAATTAATATAAAATAATCTTAGATTATTTTAAGGAAAGATAAATATCAAAGTATACCTGTTGCTGAACCTTTTCATCCCAATGAGATAAATATGCTCCTACAAACCAATCACCAGCTTCTGGTCCATAAACTGGAACAATTGCAGTTGTTTTTGGTTCAAATGTTGTAACTGTAGAAACTATAATAGTATGATTACGTTTCGGATACATATTACTAGGAAATGTATCATTATTTATAAATATCACAGGGTAACTACCCCATTGTAAGTATCTAAAAATTATTAGAAATGAATATTAGAAATAAATATCATATTATATCTCTTATGTATTCTTGAAAACAAAAATAAAAAAAATATTTACATATGTACATTTCTTTCTAGACAATCTTGACCATCCATAAATGCTGCAAATTGCCAAGTAGCTCTGAGTACTTCTTTTGGAACTGTGTAATGAAACATAACTACATCTGAATAACTTTTAAAAGAATGTAATAATCCTTCTTGACTTGCTTCTGGCATAATACATTCTTTAGCTTAAAAATATAATTTAATATAATTTAATAGCTTTAAATATAATTTTAATTATATATAAAATTAAACATTTTATATAAATTTATTTATATAAAACTATATAAAAATTATATTTAAATATTTAATATAATATTAAATATTTAAATATAATTTCTAATACTTGATTAAATACTTACATATAATACTTGATTGAATACTTAAATATTATAATTAATAATATATTATAATACTTAAATATTATAAAAATACATATAATTTTTAACAAGAAAAAAAGAAATATAAAATCATTTTAAAATATAACTCTTAAAATATAAATTTACAAAAGAAAAATTAAATTACAAATTTAAAAGATGAAAAAAAATATTTAGAAAATATATGTATATGTATAAATTTACCTGGAAAAAGTAATAAAATTAAAAGAACGTGAAATTGTAGAATCATAAGATATCGTCTAGAAAAATAACATATTGGAAGCATGATAACTTTTTTGACATTACAGAAAAATGGAAATTTCTTCTGATTAGATGTCTCTATTCACTTTTTATTAATTATCAATCATTTTTGTATTGTGATGATTCCTGTACATTTTGCACAGACAATAAATATCTGTGACTATTTTGCAATATTTGTGTCTAACAGTTTATATAGGTTTCGATCAGCTGTAGTGGAAAACATATAAATAGAAATAAAGGGTGGAATATAGATATGACAGTGATTTTACCGACAGACTAATAATCTATGCATAGATGATGTCATTAACTCAGATCACAAATATATTTATTGACAAAAAAAACAAATTTAATTATTTAAAAATTTATTTATACTTTCTATTTTTATTTAATCTTTATACAAACATAAAAAATTATCGAAAAAAAATTATTATTTAATATTATTATTGAAACATTATATACATAATATATATACATATATTATAATTTTCTTATATTAATTTTATTTTCAACATATTCATCTCAAAAGATAAAAAATAAAAAAATTCATAAAGAATTTGTTTCTTAATTTTTATCAATAAATATATTGAAAGAGATAAAAAAAAGAAAGAGATAAAAAAGGAATTTAACATAAAAATTAAGTCCAAAAAATTTAAAATAAATCAGAAATTTAACAGAAGATCGAAAAAATAGAAGAATTAGAAGAATTGTGCTATTTGTTTAATTATATTTTTATAATATAAATTAAAATTGAAATTTGAACAAAAATTTTGCATAAAAATTGAAAGAATATGGAAAATTTTCATATAAAATATATATTTTTATGAAATATAAAGTTTGAATGATAAAGATTTTTATTAAAATTTTTAATCCATATGTTTAATTAATACAAAAATGTTTAATTAATACAAAAATTTTAATAAAAAATCAATATTATTTTTTGAGCACATAAGATTAGAATAAATATAGATAAAGAAAGTAAATAGTAAGAAACAAATATAAGATAAATTTATGGGATTTAATTTAAGTAAGAAGAACAAATAATAAGGATAAAAATATAGTAAAAATTGATCGTTCATGCCATCTCTTGGATATCTCTTTAAAATCAGAGTAAGTTCTAAAAGTTTTCAGAAGATGTCACTAATTTTTAATTCTTAATCTACTTATCCTACTTGAAAAAATATTTTTAATACTTTAAAAGTTTTGTTGATAGTTAATTTTTGTTTTATCTCTATCTCTTTCTTTATCTTATTCATTATCTTATTTTATTTCATTTGTGGCATTCTTGACAGATATTGATTTCACAATTTTTATTATATCTATTCTTCTTTCATTATTCTATTTATTTATAAATGCTGTACAAATTTATGTACAAAATATATTATTTAAAAGTCATATTATTTTTTTAATTGCATCTTTGTCCAATATATTAAAAATCTAAATAAAATCTATTCGTTCTGATTTTTATATTTTTATATGTTATACATATATTTTATATACATGTACATATTTTTATATTTAGATATATATTTATATTTATAAAATATTGTTTTTATCAGCAATTTTAATAAATATTTTTAAAGTATTTCTATCTTAAAATTCTATTGCCGGTTTAAAATTTCCGCATCTTGGAAAATTTTTCGGAGTTTCTGGAATGTCAGATGGTTCTCCGACTTGTAAAGTGACTTCCATACCAGTTAGAGCATGGAAGATTTGATGACAGTGAAACAACCAATAACCTTGATAACAATTACATTATATAGAATTAAATTACATTTCTCATGAAATTAAAATAATATAATAATATTATTTTGAGAAAAATATAAAAAAAAATTCAAAATTATATATATATAATGGTAAATTTATTTTTCATTTCTTTGGATATTCCATATAATTATTTATCAGACTAAAATTTTTAAGACTACTATTTTCAAAGAATTACTATTATTTTTAAAGATTAAAAATTATTACCTGGATTGTTCGCGCGGAATCTAAGTATAGCGTATCCATTATTTGGTATTGGAAGGGTATCTTTTGCTGGAGGAGAAACGAAATTCCTTTCTATTTGATTATTATCGTCAAGTTCTTTGAAATATTCCTCTGTCATTTTAATATTCGTTTTTGTAATTGGACCCAAAGGTTGACCCATGGCCATAACATAAAATACGAATCCATGCATATGGAAGGGATGTCGTAAAATGTTTGTATCAACTGCAGAACAATGCAGAATGTACAACATTTGTATCAATATTTTCATTTTAAGTACGATAATTATGACGAAGAAAAAAAAATATCAATAAATAATTTGTTTCAAAATAAATTATATATAATATTGGCAGAAAAATATTAATCCATTTATTCGATTTTCATATATAACATTCAATATACTTACATCCATCAATCATAATAATTTCCACAATAGAATTTAATGGGATTTTAATCAAGTGAATACAACTGCACGGAGCTTTGGGATTGCAGTTAGATGGTAAATTCTCAGCGTTACAAATTATATCCGGTGAAATATTTTGCAATTGAGAAAGTGGTGGAGAAGATGGAGAAATTGAAATTATATTGTTCAACATAGTAATTGATGTAATATTTGGTGATGGAACTATTAATAACAAATTTAAAAAAAAGAAAGAATTTT